CCATACTTTTCAAACTGTTAATATAACCCGCCCTTTGGTGACCCCGCAGCGACACGAGAGGAGGATTGGCTAGTGTCCCTGACCCTTGGTAACCCCGCGGCGTCATTATGGGGCCCAGCTAGCTCAACCACGCTAGGGCGACTCCCTAGTCCCCTCTAGGCTATATTAACCTCCGGCCCTTTGGTACCCCCGCGGCGATCGGGTTTCTCAAAAAAAAACTTTTTCAACAAAGCTTTCCCGAAAATCCCTATTCTTTCATTTTTCAAAAGTCATTTCCATACGTGCAATCCCCAATGATGAATTCATGAATGCCACATACTTTCAATGTTGTAATATAAGAGATTTCTAACATTTGTCATGCCGTGACAATATCATAAAATGGGGAATTTAATACCACAATTTACCACACATGCTCACAACAATCAACTAAATGTTTAACATTATAATAAGTATGATAAATCAACCATTTATCACAATTTCCATACAATCCAACAAATACACATAGATACCTGTTTCACATACACAATTAAATCATTTAAGGAGTAATCCATCTAAATTAAGCATGCTTATCACATAAGTCAACAAACACACATATATAAAATCTTTATATGTACCATTAAATCATTTTTAAAGCAATCAACCTTAAATCAAGCATGTTTAGCCAAAATTCTAGAGGAATAACCACTAAGGTACAAGAAAAGTGTGAATTAGACACCTTTACCTCTAATTGAGCAAAAACCCCAATTTTCTTCACAAACCCTAGAAATGGGTCCTAACATTCGAACTCCAAGGAGTGCACTAAATCTGAAATCGCTTGTATGGATGTGTAGAGCTTGACACGAGCTTTGTTTTGCCTCAAACGGCACTCAATTTCGATAAGAAATGAGATCAAGATCTTGCTTCAAAGTTTTTGGAAATCAAAATGAAAAGAAAAACAGAGAGGAAGAGGGGAAGAGAGAGGCGCACGGGAGAGAAGGAGAGAAATGAGACCATTTGTGGTCTCTTGGCCCTTAGTTGGTTTAATGGTAAGTCCCACCACCTTTTTTTTTTTTTTTTCCTTTAACTTTTTGCTTAAATTTGAGCCATAACACAACATAATACACATATACATACACACAATTATATATACACCTATGCACATAAATACACAGACATTACAAAACAGTCTTTAAAACAACTAGAAGTGTATCAACTTTGGGGTTTACAATTTCGTTATACCGGAATCAAAATTTTCCTCCTGGCCATTCTTTTGGTTTTAGCTTAGTCATTGTCAAATATTTAACATTTAAGCCGTCAATGAATACGAAGTCATCCACATTAATTTAGATGTCCGCTTCTATTCAATTGCCCAATGGCACTACCTACATTGCCATGGCGTCGAATACTAAGTTTCTTTTATCTTCTTCTTATTGTTACACAGGAGATGCCCTTATAATTTTGCTAGTAAACAAACTCGGGCGTATATGATATTAAAAAAAAGGAAAAAAAAAACTGAATTTGTTTAGAGGGAATTTAATATTTTTGCCCTTTTAAAAAGTCATTCCACACCCGTTCTCTACAATCTGTTGCAATTAACTTTTCTTGTTGCTAAGACTTCTTGTTTTGGTTATTATTGCAAAATTCTTTTAAAAAAAATAAAAAAAAACTATAGGATTTGTAAAACAGAGTTTCTTGTCTCGATTTTACTTCAAATAATCGTCAACTTTGACCTGCTATCATGGATATATGTTAAGAGGGTTTATTCAATTGAAAAAACTAAATAACTTTTGATCATGATTGAACTAAGGCTTTTGAAAATGATCACAAAATATATAATTGTCCAATGTGTAGTCCGAAGCCTTCTAACTAACTTGAAATGACATGCCAACAACTTGAAACAAATATGGCCTAGTATTTTTTTTGGTGACAGCTTGCTGATTTACACGTTAGAGGCCACCATTTGTGGCTAACGAAAGATCAATTTAACTAATTAAACAAATGCCGGCTAGGGCCGTCCTTTAAAAAATTAGTTTCAATATTCAGTCATCTCAATTTCAACTACCATGTATAGTTTATGCTTATAAATAGAGATATTAAGTACAAACAGAGTCACAGGTCCCATTAGAGTCTAACCAAAATTTCAAGCTTTGGAGGAAACAATGAAGCTCATTAATGGGGTTCCTCTTCTTCATTTGATCTTGCTTGCATGGTGTCTTCTGGCCTTCAAGACTACATCAGCCTCAGTTGGTAGGTCCACCTATATAGTCCACATGGACAAGTCTCACATGCCCAAGACCTTTGCTAGCCACCACCACTGGTACTCCTCCACTGTTGATTCCATAAAATCAGCCGGTCACACAACATCGAAAGGTCATCAATCCAAACCAGAGCTTGTCTACACTTACGATAATGCATTTCATGGTTTCAGTGCCCTGTTGTCTCAAGATGAACTAGAGACTCTAAAAAATTCCCCAGGGTTTGTCTCAGCTTATAGTGATAGGGAAGTCACACTTGACACCACCCACAGCCTTGATTTCCTCTCCCTCAATCCTTTTAGTGGCCTATGGCCAGCATCAGAATTTGGCAAAGACGTCATCGTTGGTGTCATCGACACTGGTGTTTGGCCGGAGAGCAGGAGCTTCAACGATGAAGGAATGACTCCCGTCCCCTCTAGGTGGAAGGGTAAGTGTGACGAAGGACAAGAGTTCAATTCCTCATTGTGCAACTTGAAACTCATTGGAGCTAGATACTTTAACAAGGGTATTTTAGCTGCAAATCCGAACATAACAGTTAGCATGAACTCTGCAAGGGACACTCAGGGCCACGGCACGCACACTTCCTCCACAGCTGCTGGAAATGTTGTGGAAGGTGCTTCGTACTTTGGCTATGCAAAGGGGACAGCAAAGGGGGTTGCGCCCAGTGCTCGGGTGGCCATGTATAAGGTCATTTTTGACGAAGGACGGTATTCTTCTGATGTCCTAGCCGGTATGGACCAGGCTGTAGCTGACGGCGTCGACGTGATATCGATTTCAATGGGTTTTGATGGGATACCGCTGTATGAGGATCCCATTGCCATCGCTTCCTTTGGAGCCATGGAGAAGGGTGTGGTTGTTTCATCTTCAGCAGGCAATGCAGGCGCTTCTCTTGGACGGTTGCACAATGGGATTCCATGGGTCTTGACCGTCGCAGCAGGCTCCATTGACCGGTGGTTTGCCGGGACTTTGACTCTCGGAAATGGGTTAACCATCACTGCATGGAGCGTGTTTCCTGCAAGTGCCTTGGTGTTGGACCTCCCTCTCATTTACAACAAGACTCTGTCTCCTTGCAATTCAACTGCATTGTTGTCTGGAGCCCCTTATGGCATCCTCATATGTGATGACACGGAGCCATATTATTATCAATTTGGATTTGTCTCAAGCGCAAATGTGGCTGCAACTATATTTATCTCTGATAATCCTAACGTACATGAATTCAGTGATTTCCCCTGTCCCGGAGTTGTGATTAGCTCTAAAGATGCCTCAGCCGTGATTAAATATGCTGAAAGTGGAAATACATCGACAGCGAGCATGAAGTTCCAACAGACCATTGTAGGGACTAAGCCTGCCCCTATTGTTGCTTCATACACTTCAAGAGGTCCTGCCCCGAGCTATCCAGGCATTTTGAAGCCGGATGTAATGGCACCTGGGACATTAGTTTTAGCATCGTGGATTCCAAACGGTCCGGCAAGTGCTATTGGCTCAAATATTCAATTGTCCAGTGATTACAATATGATCTCTGGGACATCCATGGCTTGTCCTCATGCTTCTGGGATTGCTGCTCTCTTAAAAGGCGCGCACCCAGAATGGAGTCCAGCTGCTATTAGGTCTGCCATGATTACCACAGCCAACCCTTTTGACAACACTCACAATTCTATCCGAGACAATGGCCTAAATTTCCAAATTGCTTCACCTCTAGCCATGGGGGCAGGTCAGGTTGTTCCTAACCAAGCGCTTGATCCAGGTCTTATCTATGATGCTACTTCACAGGACTATGTGAATCTCCTCTGCTCAATGAACTTTACTAAGAATCAAATATTGACCATCACAAGATCAAATAGTTTTGGTTGCTCAAGCCCGTCTTCTGACCTTAACTACCCATCCTTCATTGCTTTGTACACTAATGAAACAGGTATACTTGTTCAGAAATTTCAGAGGACTGTCACAAATGTTGGCAATGCCACGGTCACTTATACAGCTAAGGTTGAAGCACCAAAAGGTTCTGTGGTCACAGTCTCACCGGAGACACTGGTTTTTGAGGAGATATATGAGAAGAAAAGCTACTCTTTGACTATACAATATATGAGTGACAAGAATAGGACGGTTACATTTGGTTCTATAATTTGGGTCGAAGATGGTGGTAAGCACACTGTGAGAAGTCCTATAGTGGTGTCACCTATTGTGAATGTTTGGTAGTTCATTGACGATAGGGAAATTGCAATTGCAAGTGTGTTTGCGTCATTGAAAATTAGTGTCCAGAAATACACTCGCAAGTTCTTTTGAATAATGAAATAAAAGGTTTTGGCATGGCAAAATACAAAAAATGTTACGAGGCACTCCATTTCTCCAAGTTACCTTCAAGAGATAAAATTGTCAGAACATTGTAGCTTTAAAAAAATTCCTACTTACCTTTTTACTAGCTGCATAAAATGCCTCGATAATAAACCGACTTTGGAGTGGAATATGATCGGTTTACTTTCTCAGATGCTTGTGCTTTTGAGAGGGAGAGAGGTGTTGGAAGACCATAGTGCTAGACCTGTCAATGGAGCGGATCCTGATCCGAATCCGATTCAATTAGTCGGATATTCATTGAACAAAAAATCTGATAACCTGATTACGATCTAAATCTGATAATTCATTAGCCTAACAAATCGGATATGAATTATGTTGATTCGATCTAAATAAAATTATATATATATATATACTCCTGTCAGATTTGTATTAAAGTTAACCCAAAAAGTCTAAAAAAAAATCATAATATTATATGTATTATAATGTGGTGTTCTCATTCACATACTAATAAATCTTATACACATCTTAATAATTGTGATGTCTGTGTAAGTATATGTGTATTGTGTGATGTATATTGAGTAAAAGAAAAAGAGAAAACAAATTAAAATTTTGGTGGGACCCACCACCACACCCAAAAAGGGTTTGAGACCACAATTGGTCTCCATTTTTCTTCTCTCCCGCTGGCCCTTCCTTCTGTCTCTATTTCTTGATTTTTCTTTTTCTTTTTCTTTTTGAACTCAAACTTCATTCTTAGATTACTCATCCACCTTTTGTCGGATTGAGTTGCCGTTTGAGGCAAAACGAAGCTCGTGTCAAGCTCTACACATCCATACAAGCAATTTTAGATTTTGTGCCCCTTTGGATTTCGAATCTTGAGACCCATTTTCTAGGGTTTTGGTGCAATGTTGAGGTAGGGGCCCTTAATTCATGAAATCTTGTACCTTAGTGAGTTAATTGCCTCTAATTGTTGTTTAATTTGATTAGTTGTTTAAAATCTAGAGAATTGTTGATATTTATGCATATATGTTAGTTGTGTGACTATATTTGTTGATTGTTCTATGTGAAGCATGTTTAGGACTTGATTATATATGTTCATTGTGCTAGAACTTGTTATGTATAAGCATGTTATGACTTTCTTGATTATTCTTGCGAATTATGCCATGTTGCTTACATTGGATAAAGTATGGAATGATGAACTTGTGTATGTCATTGAGGTATTCATGCATTAACATTGGGCAGGAAAAGGGAAAGAATTGATTTACTTCAAAAAGGGGAAATTTCGGGAAAGTGTTTTTGATGAAATGATTTTATGCGAAACCCGGTCGCTGCGGGGTTACCAACGGGCTGGAGGTTAATATAGCCTAGAGGGGACTAGGGAGTTGCCCTAGTGTGGTTGAGCTGGCTGGGCCCAATAATGACGCCGCGGGGTTACCAAGGGTCAGGGACACTAGCCAATCCTCCTCTCGTGTCGCTGCGGGGTTACCAAAGGGCGGGCTGTATTAACGTTTGAAAGTGATGGTTTTGAGAATGAAAATGGGGAGTGTCATTGACATGCATTGCATTTCATTGCATTGCATTGCATTGTTTATAATTGGAATTGAATTGTATGTTGTATTTGATCCCCTACGTTGTATGATCCCTATCTCCCATTGGCCTATGCTTTGCTTGAATTCACAAGGACACAAGATTTGTGTCTTAAGTGTCACCTACTGAGCATATAGCTCACCCTACTATTTATACATTTTTTTCAGGTCTTGGAAAAGAACCGGTAGACGACAATCCACCCCAACTTTGAAAGTTGCTAGAGGAGCATTTTCCTTGTTATTTTGTAGTAGACTACTCCTTTGTTCATCCCTCATTTTTGTAAAATTCCAAAGGTGTAATGATGTAAATTTCTTTTGAAGAACCATGATCATGTAATACACTTATGATACTTAATGACATATGGGATGCGAACTTGATGATATGTAACTTGTTGATGAATGGAAGGATAATCCTAGCTTGAAGCATTGTCTAGATTAGTAGGTTGTATCATTATCTTTTGTTGCCGTGAATTCGGAAATTAGTTGCATGACAGGTTAAATATGCATTTAAACAGGTTGCGGTAGGTCCATTTTTAGGGGAGGTTATGCCGAATTTTAAAAAAAAAAAAAAAAAATTTCTTGGCATCAGTTAGGGTCGTTACAAATTTGGTATCAGAGCAAATGTTTGAAAACCTTTAGGACGACGGGTAGAGGCCTACATAGAGTCGCATGGGATGTTGTTTGTATTGTTTACATGACTACTTGCTACATGGTATCTTATTTAAATGAGCATGCTTAACTGCCTATGTGCTTACTTGCTTACTTGTTTATGTTAAAATGTTTCTTGCAAAGTCTTGCATGCTAAGTGTTGTACGGTATTAATTCTTGTTGAGTCGTCCACAGTGGACCTTAGTGTCATGTTTCTGAATCGTTTTCTCGTTTTATAGCACGATGTCACGGCGTGAGGAACCTAGAGAAGTTGGCCCTAGGCCAACAAGGGGCGATGTTGGTGAGAGCTCTAGCTCCAATCCGGTGGAGCCAGTTGATGAGAACATGCTTCTTAGGGACTTGATTCCCCCAAGAGCTGTTCCCCCAAGAAGAGAGAATGTTGAAACACCTGTACCCGTAGAAGTGGGTGAAGGTTCTATGGCACTAGAGTTGAATTGATTGTTGCAAAATGCCGTGAGAGCAACTATTGTTGCTCAGCCGCAGTTGGTACCACAACCTACAGTTCGAGTTGAGGAGACTCCAGCTCAGAAGCGTCTCAAGATCATTGATAAGTGCTTAAATGTTGCACATTTCAGCACCTAAGCTAGGGTATTTCAGTCTTTGTATCTATCTTAAGTTTATGTTTTAGTCATAATTTATGTTTATGTGTATTTCAGGGCAATAAAGTTAAAATGAGCTAAGAACGGTCCAATTAAGCCTTTTTGGAGTTAAGCAAAGATTTTCAGAAAATGGCACAAAGCGGTCAATCTCGGGCCTTTGATGATGTTCCCAAAGATGGAGAAGTAAACCAAATAGCCTAGGGCAAAAATGGAGCTGAATAAGGCTTAAAGGAATTTTCCAACTCTGGGGGATCGATCCCCCAGGGTGGGGGATCAATCCCCCAGGACTTGGCAACATTGCATATTTTTATTTTAATGTTTGGGCTTATTTTGTAACCTAGTGGGCTTTAATAGGTTTATTACTTAAGCCCAGTGAGGCCCATTGTTTTTAGGGTTAGTATTTATTAGTTTAGTGATTTATTATTTGGGGAATGAAGTTTTGATTATTATTTTGAATCTGTATCGTGATATCGTTCCCTCTGGAAGAAAACGAAAGGAAGAAAAAAACAAACGAGGGTTTCAAGAATATTTTTTTACAGAGGCTTTGTCTACAGTTGAAGGAAGAAGAAGAAGGGCCAAAAGATGGAGATAGGACTTGTTGACACCATGATCATCTCCTCCATGAGCTAGTTCTTCACTTAGGGCTTGGATGAGCCCTAAGTTCATGTAACCCTAACCTTTGTATTTCTTTTCTTGGGGAATTATTATGTTGTAATTAAATTGTATGGCCTTGCGATTTCTTAATATATACATGCTTGATTTGATAAATTAGGGTTTGTATTGATAAATTCTTCCATTGAAATCTCCAATTGATTGTATGTCTATGTATGATTAATTAGGGATTTTATTCTTCATTAGATGATTAGAATTTAGTTCTTCCGTTGATTCTATATGAAAATTGCATGTCTAGGTGTGATTGATTTAGAATTATACTCTACACTAGATACTTCTTTTAGTTGTGTTTAGTGATGGCCATAGCATGAAACTTAGTTGATACAATTGTCAATTAATTTGATGGATAAAGGCTTAATCATAATAGATTGTTTTACAAATTAGCTTATTTGTCATTAGTTAATTGTAGTAAAGTAGGCAATCTGTGCTTGATTATTTTAATCCATGCTTCTAATTACAATTAGTATTATCTTCTTGATTGATGTGTGCTCTTATTGGATACATTTGTGAATGTGTATGGTGGGTTATGACGTAGTCTTGAATGGGTTCTACACTTTAGTTTAATTATCATTAGGTAGACAATTCATTCTTGATGTTGATAATCTATGCTTACAATTGTGATTTGTGATGATAATGTGACCACATCTATAATTACACTAATAAATTCCCCATTAATTGAAAGCATATGGTTAATTGCATGGGCTTAGTGGTGAATCCTAACCCTAAGACTCTCTTCCTATCTCTTTAATTCTTAGTTTAATGTCATTTCTATTTTCATGCTTTTAATTGAATTTTAGTTTAATCACTCCACCAAAATATTTTTCTCTCACACTCTTTCTCTCTCTTTCTCTTCTCTCTTTTACAATCTAATTAGCATTAAAATCAAGTTTAGTCCCAACATGTGTTCAATCCCTTGGGTTTGATCCCTTCTCACTTCATACTACATAGTATAAGTGTCTAGCGGTTTACAAATGTAAACTATGATGCCCGCTTGATACCATTTCCAAAACCAAAGTGTTGTGCATTATTTTGTGCACACACTCAGGTCGCATCATAATTTTGGCGCCATTGCCGGGGATTGACGGTTTAGTTGGAATTAAATTAGGCATTAGGGCTAATTTAATTGTTTTCTTAAAATTACTATTTTCTTACTAGTCCCCCTTGTTCAATTAGGTACTTGAAAAGAAAAGGAGCAAGCATTGGATTTTAGCACCTTTGTAACATTGTTGCTAGGGACTTTTGTAAGCTTCCTTGATTTTCTTTTATTATAATTGTTCAATTCTCTGTATGCTTGCGAGATAGCCCTTGTCGAGGCTATCACATTGTTTAAATTCTTGTCCAAGCATAAGCCCAAAAGGAGGCTATTACTTTCTTGATAGAAAGCATCGGCCCGTGTGGAGGCAATTTAATTTTGTGCATTGATATAACATGGGAGTATGGGAACATCGTATGTGGAGGTGGTGAATTGTTGTTGATTTTTGTTGTGGTTTGTTGTGAAGTTGTTGTGGTCTAATCTTGAATCATCCGTTCGGTGTTAGGAGGTAGTTCTAGGAGAATTCTTCCCATTCTTGATTATCTCACACTTAATAGAAAACCAATTTTAATATCTAGGGAATATGGATAATCTAGGTGAGTATTACCCTCTTAATGGGCATCCACCCTTGAGAATTCCCCATCCTAATGTGTTGCCACAACCCAATCAAGTGCAACAACCTCCAATAATGCCAATCCATCTTTAAGATCATGTAGTGTATCCCCCCAATCATCAATTATCTCTTCGGGATCACTACACTCCCAATGTATACAATGCATCAACATGCATCCGGTTGCCAAACTTTCGGGCAACCCATTATGAAATTAAGCCCGCAACCATCCAAATGTGCCCCATTTTCTATGGGGTAAACAATGAAGAACCATATAAACATTTGGATGAGTTTTTGGAAGTTTGTTCAACCGTGAAAATCACGGACCTTCCGGAAGAAGTCTTAAAAATGAAGCTTTTCCCTTTCACTCTTCGGGAAAAGGCTAAATATTGGTTCAATAACTTGAGGGCAAATTCAATCACATCTTGGGCTCAACTACAATATGAATTCCTAAAAAAAATTTACCCTACAAGTAGAACCGATGCTATGAGAGCTTCTATCCCTGAATTCTCCTAAAATGAGGGAGAACCTTTGCATGAAGCATGGGAGCGTTTGAACGATTTGTTACGGAAGTGTCCACATCACGACATTCCTAAGTGGCAATTAGTTCGTTGCTTCTATGAAAGCTTATCCGATACCCAAAAAGGTATGGTTGATGCTTCATGTGGAGGAGCCTATTTGGACAAAAATGAAGATGATGTGTGGCATCTTTTTGATCGCATGAGCGAAAATTCAATGCATCGTTCTTCATCGTCCCGATTTGGCTAAAACTTGAATGAAGGAGGGAAGAAAACCTCCAGTCTTTCTCAAGTGGAAAGTTCCATGGAAATTGCCGCCGAAGTCAAAAATCTTACTCAAAGGTTTGATAAATTTCTTTTGAGCCAAAACTCGGCAATTCAATCATCCAACTCTTTCCATTCTCAAAATGTGATGTGCATGACTTGCTCTAGTTATACTCACAATACTTTCAATTGTCCTCTTGGACAAGTTTTTCCGAGTGAGTATCAAGAACAAGTCAATGTTGTTTTCATTCATCCGGGAAGTAATCCAAATTTTAACTCCTGCAATTCTGGATGGAGTGATCCTAACTTTTCTTGGAGAAATCAAGGAGGAGGTATCATTCCTCCTATTCATAAAAATTCCCAAGAAAAGTATGTGCCTCCCCACCTCCGAAATGCAAATTCTCAAGCGTACTACTCTCCATCTTATCCTCTTCCAAATGTGAATCAATTCTCTAATTCTCATTCTTCAAATCATCAATCTTATTCTCATCCACCTCAAGAGCCTCCTAGGAATCCCACTTTTGAGGATAAGGTTTTAGAAGCTTTGGGTGATCTTCAAAAGGAAAATCAAGTGTTTCATTCACATTCTCAATCAATTGCAAAACTTGAAGCCCAAATTGGGCAAATGGCTAAATCAATAAAAGAGAAAGGGCCTATTCAACCTGAGATTAACCGAAAGGCATACTCCATTTCCACCTTGAGGAGTGCCAGAAAAATTAATAATAAAGTTGAGAGACCTAGTGAAATAAGTGTTCCAATGCAACCAAGTGTTAGCTCGTCTACAATTCCCAATTCCATTCCTACTTCACTAGAGTCAAATGGTCACATTAAGGAGCCAATTCCATCATTATCATCTTCCTCCCATATAGAGAAGCCTTATGAGCCAAAAGCTCCATTTCCTCAAGCTTTAAACTCTAATCCATTTTCGAGGCAAGAAGGAAAAATCCATGACATGATGGAAGTTTTTGAACAAGTTAAAATCAACCTTCCTCTTTTTTATGCTATTCGCCAAATTCCACCATATGCCAAGTTCTTGAAGGACTTGTGTACTCAAAAGAAGAAGAACAATGGACCAAGCCCAAAGAAAGTACTTCTCACAGAGCAAGTAAGCTCTATCATTAAGCTTAGCACCCCACCTAAGTTCAAAGACCCTGGCGCTCCAACCATCTCTTGTACCATAGGGAACCATGAGGTAAAAAGGGCACTTCTTGACTTAGGGGCTAGTGTTAACGTTATTCCTTACTCCGTGTATCTTCAATTAGGTTTGGGAAATCTTAAGCCAACTTCGGTAGTTATTCAACTCGCCGATAGGTCTACAAAACAACCAAGGGGAATTGTTGAGGACATCCTCATCAAAGTCGACAAATTCTATTTCCCGGTTGATTTTGTTGTGCTTGACACTGAGCCGGTTCCCAATCCTACCACTTACATTCCCATCATTTTAGGAAGACCATTTCTTGCCACCGCTAATGCGACAATCAATTGTAGGTCCGGCATTATGGACATCTTTTTTGGCAATATGATGGTTAAGCTTAATGTGTTTAACACGAGTCAACATCCTATCAATGAAGGCGAGTGTTTCATGGTGAATATCTTGGATGAAATTGTTGAAGAAGTCATTCCTTCCATTCCTTCTGAAGATCCGCTTGAGGCATGCCTCTCTCACTTCAACATGGACGCATTTGACATTGAAAGCTCCATATATGAAGTGAATTCTCTAATGGATTCCGTAGCCATCTTAGACTTCCCGCCATGGAAAAACTCAAAAGAACCTCTCCCTTCAATCGCAAGTACTCCTTCTTATCAAGAAGAGGAAGAAGTGGTAAGTACGCCAATGGCCAATTCAATTTATGAGGACATTCCTTATAATATTGAGCATGAAGTCATTGAGGCGACCTTAGTGAAGGAGGAGAAAGTGATCAATGTAGAAGTTGACAAAAATGATGAAAAGATTGAGTTTCTTAATAATCTAACCGAGCCTTTGAAAGACATTACCTTGCCAAGTGCAAGGCCGCTCATTATGGACTTTATTTTCAAAACCGTGGATGAGAGGAAACAAATTGCATCTTTCACCATTTCTTTCCAAATCATTCTTTTGGGAGATGTATTCATTGTTGCGAGAGAAGATCCATTTGGGAAAATAGATAAATGGATCAATGAGGATGTCTCATATCCAGTTTTTGATTCTTTCGACTAGTGAGTCGCCCCAACGTCTTGCTAGAGACGTTAAACACTAGTTGTTCGTAGAATTTTCAAAAAAAAAAAAAAAAAAATGCATTTTATTATTATTTTGTTTTCTTTTCTTTTTGTACATTTATGTATTTTTAAATTCAAAAAGAAAAAAAAAAAAATTTGTTGTGATAGGTAGAATAAGTTGGTATTTGATTTTATTTTAATTTTTAGTAGTATTATTTTAATTTTAATTTTTATATATATTTAATTTTAGTATATATATTTTTCTTTTTAGTTTTACTTAAAAAAAAAAAAAAAAATTAAGTTGGTAAGTGATTTTATTTTAATTTTATTTATTATTATTTTAATTTTTATCTATTTTTCATTTCAGTGTATATATTCTTTTTAGTTATTATTTTTTTTTTATTTATTTATTTTTAGTGTATATATTAAAAAATAAATAAATTAAAGAAGAAAAAAAAAAGAAGCAAAAGATGGATCACCATCTTGGCAGAGAGCAACAAAAAAATGTTCCAAGTAGATTGATCCCCCAATCACGTGGATCGATCCCTTTTTACCTATGTCGCCACTTTCTCATTCTACAGTGAAGGGCCAATTTTGTGTCTAAAATTATCGATCCCCTTAACTGATGGATCGAGCCCGTTAGCTTGCATTCCCATCTCTCTCTCGTCTGCATTCACTGCCAACCCTAAAATCTCTTAACCCAAGTTCTTCAAACCCTCGCTTTCTTCGACCATCCTCTCTATTCGATCCTCTCTGTTCTATCCTCTCTTGCGCCGTGTTGAAGAGGTCGTTCAACGGCGTCGCTGTTGGGTGGTGGGTTATTTCCCGACGATTTTACTTCGCCGTTCTCTGTTGCATCTGGGCTAGCGATCGCCGCTGGGTTTTTCTCCGAGATCGCGGCTGTACAACTTTCCAGCGTCGGCTGGGTCTTTCCGGCGGGTGTGTTAATCGCTGTATTTCTCCGACGAGGTTGGGTCGCCGAGATTACATCACCGCGGCTGGTTTTTCTTTTTCAGCGCGTTTGGCTTAGTTCTCTGGCGTCTGCGGCTGTTGGGTCGCCGAGATTACATCGTCGCGGTTGGTTCGTTCGCCGGCTTGTTCGCTTCACCTGCAGTTTAGGCGTTGGGTTGTGGATTTCGCCGACTGTGGGTTGCGTTTGAGGCTGTTGGGTAGAGATTTCGCCGGCTTGTTCGCTGCGCTGGCGACGCGGCTGTTCGTCTTCCGGCGTCGCCTCTATTCGTCTTTCTGGCGTCCCATCTGTTCGTTTTCCAGCGATTCGCGGCTGGGTTCGTCAACGATTCGCGGCTGGGTCGTTCTCCGGCGATCTCGGCTAGCACCGGCGATCTGTTTCATCCTCCGACGTTGCGACTGCTTCTTCTTCAGCGATTCCGGCGTCTGGTTCTTCCAACAGCGATCGCGGCGGCTCTTTCCGGCAATTCCGGCTGGGCTTAAATTCCGGCGCTGTTTGAGACTCGCCCTTTATTTTTCTGGCGTTGCAACTGGCTGTTCCCTCCAGCGATTTTGGCTAGATTTTGATTTGGTTTCTTCATCAATTTCGGCGGCTTTTGACTGGGTTTTCTCCGGCAAGTATGTGGGTAAGTGCTGATTTTGGCAAGTTTGGCAAGTTTGTGAGTTGTTAATTGGGTTCCAGATTCCATTTTTTTTATTTTTTATTTTTTATTTTTTTTATTTTTACATTGATGACTTAAAAAAAAAAAAAAAAAAACAGTTGAATTGTTGTTAAAAAAAAAAAAAAAGTGCATAAATTTTTGAATTGATGATTTAAAAAAAAAAAATATTTGTCATTGAAGTAGGGTTATTGATTTTGGACTACTTCCCATATATTTCAATCTTAAGAAATGACTCGTGTTTCTTCTTCCAAACGTTTCAAACCCTCCAAAGAGACTCCCAAAGTTGTGTGGCGCAACAAACTGGATTTTGAGACTACCTTCGACATTGAAGGTACGTTTCGCCACAATGACGTGACTGAATGGGCGGTGTTAGAATTTGAAAGGAGGCGTTTGTCCTGCCTTTTTAGACCAGCTGCAGAGGTTGTCTATCCCCGTATTGTGCGCCTGTTTTATCAGAATATGGAATGGTTTAGTGATGCACCGGACATATTAGTTACAACCATTGATGGTGTCCGAATTCACTTTGGTGTCTTAGACATAGCCCAGGCATTAGGGTGTCCACATTTGTGCCCCACTGACTTGCTAGCAGAGAATGGGGAGCTACGTTTTGGCAAATTCTCGAAAAAACCTACTGTGCATTCTATTGTTAAAGATATGTGTGACGGGAAGTATGGTGACAAGAAGAAGAAGAATTGTGCCAGCAAGTCCTCACTACCTAAGGATATGTGGTTTTTCGATCAGGTTCTGAAACGGAATGTTTTTCCAATAGGTCATAAGGTACAACGGGGACAAGAGTTCTTAATAGCGTTGTATGCTACCCACACTGGAACATGGTTTTCTGTTCCAGCTTTCGTCTTTAACCAGATGCATAAATACTGGAAGCATTTAATGGCGAGTGGGGATCCAAATGCGAAAAAATGGAAACTTCCGTTTCCGTATCTTATTACCCAGCTCCTTGTCCTTCGGCGCTTCGTGGTTGATAATGATGAGATCTCTGAGGCTCCACGGGTGACTTTTAGGCTAGCACAGTGGAACTTAAGCCTTTCTCATATGCCTAGTGCCAAGAAGGAAGGTGATGGCATGGTAGCAGGTACTAAAGAGGACGTGAATACCCTGGTTGAGGACGTTGTTGGGAGGTCTGAGGAGCAGATTGCTGATGGTGCTACTTATGAGATAGCACCGGCTGTGTCACCACATGCAAAGGAGTCTGCAGGGGTGACTAGGGCAGGGTTCAATGCCATTGTGGGGCAGTTGAGGACCGAGTTGGCTGAATCTCGAAAGCAGCACCACTACCCAGCGCATGCTACGAGATCTATATGAGATTGTTTCATCGAGTCTCCCACGCACTTCCACATTGCCACCTGATGCATGATTTCTTTTGTCTATTTTAAGCTGTTCAGATTTTTTGCAAAGTATCATTCCGTCTTGCTAGAGACGTTAAACTTAGCCCATTATTTATTTATTTATTTATTTTCTAGGTTGTATATACATGTTTTTTTTTTCTTTATTTCTTTTAAAATAAAATTAAAAAAAAAAAAAACAAAACAAAGCAAACAAAAAAAATAATAATAATAAAAAATAAAAAATTTCAAAAATATGTGTTCCCGTTATGCCCTTCTGCTTAGTTATGCATGTTTTCATCTTTTACAAAGGGCTTGATATCATATCTCTTTACATCTTATTCTATATTGTTTTAGAATGTATGCTTTACTTATCCCATTTGATATTTGATGTGAGTTGCTAGTGTGGCTTTTCTAGTAGGTTTTTGCATCCAAGTTTAGGGGAGACCTCTTTCGTCATGGATCATTGCCGGGCGTCATTAACTTTTGCTATCACGGTATACTCTTTCCATTTCTTTCATTGTTCTCATTGCACATTGAGGACAATGTGCAGTTTAAGTTTGGGGGTAAGGTAGCCTTGTTACATTCTACTTTAAGTTGAGCTTTAAATGCATGATTGAGATTTGAGATGTATTTGGCAATGATTTTGAACTTTTGAAGCATAGTACTTTTAAAAAACAAGTTGTTAAAGTCTAATACTTCTTGTATGCTCTAGGATGCCATTTAGGGGTAAATTTTTAATTTTTGATATCATGTTTGGTCTTGTGGTACACATCATCTTGTTGGTTGAAAATGCTTTGAGAGTTGATTCTAGAATTCTACACTTGCACTTGCGCACACTAGCATTCAATTTGTGGGGTACATGCTTAGTTGATTATTGTCTTGGTTTATTCCAATTGAGCTAGTATGCTTTGGAAGCTTTCATTCTTGATAAAATGACCTTGCAAAGAAAAAAAATAAAAGCACTCACCAAAGGTGAGGAAAAAAAAAAAAAAAACTGCATTCTTTCAACATGTCAACTGATTAAAAAGGAAGACAAGGAAAGAATGTAAGATGTATGATTAGTTTGAGTTCGTAGCCTAGTCATTCCGAGTTATTACGCCCTTAGGAGTGTCTTTACACTTAACGCCCTAAGACCATCTGGTTTGGGAGTCGTTGGCTCAACGCTTGTTACATGGGGTGAGTAGAGAGCTTAAGGAACTTGGACATTGCACATGGTCATACATATATATATATAAAATTGATGAAATCAAATAAAATAAAATAAAAATGTTTGATTGAATAACAAGGTTCATTCAATGTCTTGATATCTGGTACTATATCTGTATGCTAGTTTGAGGGTAAGGCTATGCCATTACTTTGATTTGCTAAGATAGCAACACATTTTGATACCGGTTCACTAAAAAAGGATGATAAAATTGATTCAATTTGCATGATTAACTTGCTTGATGTGTGGAGGACCATTTTTGCTTACATGATGTTGAAATATTGAGAATAGCTTAGAAATGGCAGAAATTTGCATACTTGAAGTAGTCTACTTTAAACACTTATTTGATATGTGTCGTTACTTCTCAAGTAAGAAAGAGCTGTTAATGTTTGTGGGTACCATTTATGAAAACCTTCACGAGACTTCACTCGTCCACTAGGGGTAACCTAGGGGTTTAAAAGGCTTGTTGCATATGCTAAATGCAACCGTGATCCCTACGAAAGTGGTGTTATCTTTATTTGCTTAATTAGTTCATAGTTGTATATATGTTTGTTTCATTTCCATGTTGTAGTTCATTGCTAGGGACTAGTAATATCTAAGTTTGGGGGTGTGATAAGTGCTTAAATGTTGCACATTTCAGCACCTAAGCTAGGGTATTTCAGTCTTTGCATCTATCTTAAGTTTATGTTTTAGTCCTAATTTATGTTTATGTGTATTTCAGGGCAATAAAGTTAAAATGAGTTAAGAACGGTCCAATTAAGCCTTTTTGGAGTTAAGCAAAGATTTTCAGAAAATGGCACAAAGCGGTCAATCTCGGGCCTTTGATGATGTTCCCAAAGATGGAGAAGCAAACCAAATAGCCCAGGGCAAAAATGGAGCTGAATAAGGCTTAAAGGAATTTTCCAACTCTGGGGGATCGATCCCCCAGGGTGGGGGATCAATCCCCCAGGACTTGGCAACATTGCATATTTTTATTTTAATGTTTGGGCTTATTTTGTAACCTAGTGGGCTTTAATAGGTTTATTACTTAAGCCCAGTGAGGCCCATTGTTTTTAGGGTTAGTATTTATTAGTTTAGTGATTTATTATTTGGGGAATGAAGTTTTGATTATTATTTTGAATCTGTATCGTGATATCGTTCTCTCTGGAAGAAAACGAAAGGAAGAAAAAAAAAGCGAGGGTTTCAAGAATATTTTTTTACAGAGGCTTTGTCTACAGTTGAAGGAAGAAGAAGAAGGGCCAAAAGATGGAGATAGGACTTGTTGACACCATGATCATCTCCTCCATGAGCTAGTTCTTCACTTAGGGCTTGGATGAGCCCTAAGTTCATGTAACCCTAACCTTTGTATTTCTTTTCTTGGGGAATTATTATGTTGTAATTAAATTGTATGGCCTTGCGATTTCTTAATATATACATGCTTGATTTGATAAATTAGGGTTTGTATTGATAAATTCTTCCATTGAAATCTCCAATTGATTGTATGTCTATGTATGATTAATTAGGGATTTTATTCTTCATTAGATGATTAGAATTTAGTTCTTCCATTGATTCTATATGAAAATTGCATGTCTAGGTGTGATTGATTTAGAATTATACTCTACACTAGATACTTCTTTTAGTTGTGTTTAGTGATGGCCATAGCATGAAACTTAGTTGATACAATTGTCAATTAATTTGATGGATAAAGGCTTAATCATAATAGATTGTTTTACAAATTAGCTTATTTGTCATTAGTTAATTGTAGTAAAGTAGGCAATCTGTGCTTGATTATTTTAATCCATGCTTCTAATTACAATTAGTATTATCTTCTTGATTGATGTGTGCTCTTATTGGATACATTTGTGAATGTGTATGGTGGGTTATGACGTACTCTTGAATGGGTTCTACACTTTAGTTTAATTATCATTAGGTAGACAATTCATTCTTGATGTTGATAATCTATGCTTACAATTGTGATTTGTGATGATAATGTGACCTCATCTATAATTACACTAATAAATTCCCCATTAATTGAAAGCATATGGTTAATTGCATGGGCTTAGTGGTGAATCCTAACCCTAAGACTCTCTTCCTATCTCTTTAATTGTTAGTTTAATGTCATTTCTATTTTCATGCTTTTAATTGAATTTTAGTTTAATCACTCCACCAAAATATTTTTCTCTCACACTCTTTCTCTCTCTTTCTCTTCTCTCTTTTACAATCTAATTAGCATTAAAATCAAGTTTAGTCCCAACACGTGTTCAATCCCTTGGGTTCGATCCCTTCTCACTTCATACTACATAGTATAAGTGTCTAGCGGTTTACAAATGTAAACTATGATGCCCGCTTGATACCATTTCCAAAACCAAAGTGTTGTCCATTATTTTTGTGCACACACTCAGGTCGCATCAATCATTAAGGGGTTTTCTCAGCTGATGCCGGTTATGTTTAAGGGCGGTGCGGACCCAATGGTAGCCGACAACTACATGGATCAAGTCGAAACTCAGTTGAACTCAATGGATGTGACAGAGGATCACTTGAAGATCATCCTAGCAACTTACAAGTTTGCTATGGATGCCAAGGTTTGGTGGAAGTCGATCACCAACCAGTATAAGATTGAAGAGATGAGTTGGGACAGGTTCAATGAACTGTTTTATGTGAAGTACTTTCCGCTTTCCAAAAGATGGGAGTTATAAGACCAGTTTCATAATCTTATTCAAGGGAACATGTCAGTGGCGGAGTATGAGAACAAGTTCACCTCACTCTCCCGTTTTGCTCCAGAAGTGGTGAGAGATGAAGCTAACAAGACTCGGAAGTTTGTCTCAGGTCTTAATGATCGAATGAGGCCGTTGATCATGGCACAGTTTATTAAGGTTTACTCTGAAGCAGTGGAAAGGGCTTTGATGCTGGAGGCTGACAATAGAGAGAAGGATGCAAGAAGAGAGCAATTGAAGCAAAAGAGGGGTGCAGGGCCATCCTCAGAGGGACTTTCTTGGAAAAGGAACAGGGGCAGTCCATCTTAGTTTCAGGGGTAACAGTCTACAAGATCTACTCCTACCACTCCTATGCTAGCTGGACTTGACAGGAGTGCAGTTATTTGTTATCAGTGTCAGCAGCCCGGACATTACAAGTCCAGTTGTCTGATGAGATTGTCTTCAGTTTCGTCAGCTCCGAAGGCTTGTTGTTGGTGTGGCCAGCAGGGTCACTTGATTCGTGATTGTCCGAGTCAGAGAGCAGGCACCATTAGTGGCAGAGGGTCACAGCAGAGGCTGTCACAATTGGCTACAGTTCAGTCAGGTTTCAGACCACCACCACCACAGCCTACTATGTCTTCACAAGGTTCACGATCAGTTAGGAGGGATACTCCTACTATGTCAGTGCAGCAGTCAGGTGTTCAGGTTGGCAGTCCTCAGGCACAGGTACCACAGGGACGTGTTTTTGCACTGGCACAGACCGATGCATCTTCTGGACTGTCAGTTCTTTGAGGTATATTTCCAGTGTTTGATTGTTGGGCCCGTGTTTTGTTTGACTCTGGTGCATCTTATTCTTTCATTTCATCATAATTTGCACTTGCATCGGGGTTAGAGGTTAGTTTCATGGATCGGGCGTTATGTGTTGATACGCCAGTTAGGGTTTCAGTGTCATTGAGCCGAGTTGTGCGGGATTGCTCCATTGTGATAGCCGGGCGGACCTTTGTGTTTGACCTTATCCTTCTGGAGATGACTAGCTTTGATGTCATTCTCGGGATGGATTGGTTGGCTTCATTTCATGCCACGATCGACTGTTACAGAGGAAGGGTTACAGTTTACACTCCCGAGGGAGACTGTTTCTTTTTCGTGGGAGATCGGAGTGATTCCCACATTTCATCGTTTTATGGAGTTCGTGGACGAAGTCATGGTGATTATTTCTTAGTTAGTCTTCTAGCCGAAGAAGATGATGTCGTGGGAGAAGTTTATCCGGCGATTGTTTGTGACTTCTTGGATGTTTTTCCAGAAGATTTGACAGAGTTGCCTCCACACCGAGGAGTGGAGTTCTCTATTGATTTGATGCCAGGTACCGCGTCGATTTCTATGGCACCATATCGAATGGCCCCAGTTGAATTGGAAGAATTGAAGAGGCAGCTTGATGATTTGAGGATGAAAGGTTTCATCCGACCGAGTGTGTCACCGTGGGGCCCACCGGTCTTATTTGCTAAGAAGAAAGATGGATCTTTGAGATTGTGCATTGATTACCGGAAGTTGAATCATGCCACCATCAAGAACAAGTATCCTTTGCCAAGGATAGATGATTTATTTGATCAGTTGAGGGGAGCCAGTTGTTTCTCGAAGATTGACTTGAGGTCTGGCTATTATCAGTTGCGAGTTAGGGATGAGGATATCCCTAAGACAGCATTCCGTACACGGTATGGACACTATGAGTTCCTTGTTATGCCTTTTGGCTTGACTAATGCGCCAGCGGCATTCATGGACTTGATAAACCGCGTCTTTCACGATTACTTGGACTAGTTTGTGGTAGTTTTCGTGGATGACATTCTTGTGTACTCACGAACTCGGGAAGATCACGAGGTCCATTTGAGTATTGTTTTACAGATTTTGTGGGAGCACCCATTGTATGCCAAATACGAGAAATATGAGTTTTGGCTACAAGAGGTGAAGTTTTTTGGGCATGTTGTTTCAGAAGGTGGAGTATCAGTTGATCCATCAAAGGTTGAAGTAGTTTTGACTTGGGAGCGACCCAAGAATGTGTTTGAGATCCGCAGTTTCCATGGTTTAGCGGGTTACTATCGGAGATTTGTGAAGTATTTCTCCCGTTTGGCAGCTCCTATGACCCGTTTGACCCGGAAAGGGGTCAAGTTTGTCTGGAATGAGGCCTGTGATTCATCTTTTCAGGAGTTGAAGATGAGATTGACTACAGCTCCAGTGTTGGTGATACCTGAGCGTGGCTTGGGTTATGTGATCTATTGTGATGCTTCACGTGACGGGTTGAGATGTATGTTGATGCAGGATGGTAGAGTAGTGGCTTATGGGTCTCGACAGTTGAAGACTCATAAGTACAACTACCCTACTCATAACCTGGAGTTAGTGGCAGTTGTATTTGCCTTGAAGTGTTGGAGATATTACTTGTATGGTGAGAGATTCGAGGTATTTTCAGATCACAAAAGTCTCAAGTACCTTTTCTCCCAAAAGGACTTGAACAACAGACAGAGGCGATGGGTCGAATTCTTGGAGGACTACAATTTTGACTTGCAGTATCATCCGGGCAAGGCGAATGTGGTAGCGGATGCCTTAAGCCGGAAATCTCGTGGAACTTTGGCCAGTTTAGCTATTCGGAAGTGGAAGATGCTTGAATATCTGGCATAGATGGGATTACAGTGTTGTGATGATGATGCTTGCAGTGAGTCGGCATTCTTATTTAGTCTTGTGGCTCAGCCTACTCTTGTTATACGAGTGATTGAGTCACAGAGACAGGACCCGGACTTAGATGCCATCCACGCTTTGATCTCTAGTGGTGAGACAGTGAAAGATTGGGCCTTGCATACAGATGGGGGTCTACGGTTCAGGGGTTTGTTGGTGGTTCCCACATGTTATCGTGAGGACGTCCTATGGGAGTTTCACACTTCCCGCTTTGCAGTTCATTCAGGTGGTACTAAAATGTATCACAATTTGAGACGTTAGTATTGATGGAGCGGGATGAAGAATGATGTTGCACAGTTTGTGGCTAGATGCCTTACTTGTCAGCAGGTGAAGGCCGAGCATCAGAGGCCAGCAGGTTTGTTGCAACCATTACCTGTGGCGCAATGGAAATGGGAGCATATTGCTATGGATTTTGTGACAGGTTTTCTAAGGTCAAGAATGGGCAATGAGACCGTATGGGTCATCATTGACAGATTGACCAAGACGGCTCACTTTTTGCCTATTAAGGCAACAGATGATGCAGAGAAGCTTGGTGTTCTTTATGTGAAAGAGATTGTAAGGTTGCATGGAGTTCCTGTAACCATTGTGTTAGATAGGGATGCTAAGTTCACTTCGAAGTTCTGGGAAGGACTGCAAGTAGCGTTTGGTTCAGCGTTGCATCTTAGTACGGCATTCCATCCACAGACGCACGGTCAATCGGAGCGTACTATCCAGATTTTGGAGGATATGCTTCGGGCATGTGTGCTTGACTTGGGTGGTAGTTGGGAGGATCACCTTCCACTTATTGAGTTTGCCTACAACAACAGTTATCAAGCGAGTATCCAGATGGCTCCATTTGAGGCGTTGTATGGTAGACCTTGTAGGTCTCCTGTTTGTTGGACTGAGGTCTGCCTTAGGACCCGACATTGTACTCGAGACTACTGAGAAGATTAAGTTGATAAGACAGAGGTTACTTACAGCTCAGAGCCGATAGAAGAGCTGCGGATAAGCGGAGACGACCGTTATCCTTTGAGGTGGGAGACCATGTTTTTCTACGGGTTTTTCCACGGAAGGGATTGATGAGATTCAGAAAAAGTGGCAAGTTGTGGCCACGATTTATTGGACCGTTTGAGATTTTGGACCGAGTAGGAGAGGTTGCCTACAGGCTTGCTTTGCCACCACAGTTGGATTGGGTCCACAATGTTTTCCATGTATCGATGTTACGGAAGTACGAACCGGATTCATCTCACATTTTGAGTTGGGTAGATGTGGACATTGATGAGGATGTTTCCTACGAGGAAGGACCAGTTCAGATCCTTGACACTCAGCAGAGGGTGTTGAGGAACAAGACGATACCAATGGTGAAAGTCCTTTGGAGACACCACCGAGTCGAGGAGGCTACTTGGGAGCTCGAACAGGAGGTTTGGTCTAAGTACCCAGCGTTGTTTTCTTCCTCAGGTATGTCTTGATTTTGAGGACGAAATCTTTTTAAAGTTGGGGAGAATGTGATGTCTGTGTAAGTATATGTGTATTGTGTGATGTATATTGAGTAAAAGAAAAAGAGAAAACAAATTAAAATTTTGGTGGGACCCACCACCACACCCAAAAAGGGTTTGAGACCACAATTGGTCTCCATTTTTCTTCTTTCCCGTTGGCCCTTCCTTCTGTCTCTATTTCTTGATTTTTCTTTTTCTTTTTGAACTCAAACTTCATTTTTAGATTACTCCTCCACCTTTTGTCGGATTGAGGTGTCGTTTGAGGCAAAACGAAGCTCGTGTTAAGCTCTACACATCCATACAAGCAATTTTAGATTTTGTGCCCCTTTGGATTTCGAATCTTGAGACCCATTTTCTAGGGTTTTGGTGCAATCTTGAGGTAGGGGCCCTTAATTCATGAAATCTTGTACCTTAGTGAGTTAATTGCCTCTAATTGTTGTTTAATTTGATTAGTTGTTTAAAATCTAGAGAATTGTTGATATTTATGCATATATGTTAGTTGTGTGACTATATTTGTTGATTGTTCTATATGAAGCATGTTTAGGACTTGATTATATATGTTCATTGTGCTAGAACTTGTTATGTATAAGCATGTTATGACTTTCTTGATTATTCTTGCGAATTATGCCATGTTGCTTAAATTGGATAAAGTATGGAATGATGAACTTGTGTATGTCATTGAGGTATTCATGCATTAACATTGGGCAAGAAAAGGGAAAGAATTGATTTACTTCAAAAAGGGGAAATTTCGGGAAAGTATTTTTGATGATATGATTTTATGCGAAACCCGGTCGCTGCGGGGTTACCAACGGGCCGGAGGTTAATATAGCCTAGAGGGGACTAGGGAGTCGCCCTAGTGTGGTTGAGCTAGCTGGGCCCCATAATGACGCCGCGGGGTTACCAAGGGTCAGGGACACTAGCCAATTCTCCTCTCATGTCGCGGCGGGGTTACCAAAGGACGGGCTGTATTAACGTTTAAAAGTGATGGTTTTGAGAATGAAAATGGGGAGTGTCATTGACATGCATTGCATTGCATTGTTTATAATTGGAATTGAATTGTATGTTGTATTTGATCCCCTACGTTGTATGATTCCTATCTCCCATTGGCCTATGCTTTGCTTGAATTCACAAGGACACAAGATTTGTGTCTTAAGTGTTACCTACTGAGCATATAGCTTACCCTACTATTTATACATATTTTTCAGGTCTTGGAAAAGAACCGATGGACGACAATCTACCCCAACTTTGAAAGTTGCTAGAGGAGCATTTTCCTTGTTATTTTGTAGTAGACTACTCCTTTGTTCATTCCTCATTTTTGTAAAATTCCAAAGGTGTAATAATGTAAATTTTTTTTGAAGAACCATGATCATGTAATACACTTATGATACTTGATGACATATGGGATGCGAACTTGATGATATGTAACTTGTTGATGAATGGAAGGATAATCCTAGCTTGAAGCATTGTCTAGATTAATATGTTGTATCATTATCTTTTGTTGCCGTGAATTCGGAAATTAGTTGCATGATAGGTTAAATATGCATTTAAACAGGTTGCGGTAGGTCCATTTTTAGGGGAGGTTATGCCGAATTTAAAAAAAAAAATTTCTTGGCATCAGTTAGGGTCGTTACAATAATATCATACGGTTTATTCATTAACAAAGAGTAAATAATTTATTTATTTTCACATTTTACTTATATTTTGTTTGATATCTTTTTCTTATAATCATTATTATTTTTTTTATTCTCTTTTGACTTTAATTATATATATATATATATATATATATAATATTATAAAAATTATATTTTTATCGGATCGTATCGAATTATCTGATCGAATATCCGTTTATTAACAAATCGAATTCGGATTGATTTACGAAAAATATCCATCGGATTGGATTGAGTAAAATGTTTATCGGATTCGGATCGAATCAGATCTAATCCGGTTTGAATTCGATCCATTTACAGGTGTACATAGAGGCGCTCGAGATTATGTCAAATTGGAGAAGATATACGGTGCGTCCGGCATGCGATGTCATTTGTATGCCTCACCAATAAAAATACATCATTTTATGAAATTGTTTTCATTTATTTATAAAAATTACTCTCAACCAATCACCTGTATGACTGCTGCATCCAACATCTACTCCAACATCTACTCGTGAGGTAAAAATAGTGAACTAGCTTCGATTAATTATAGAAAAAGAAAAAGTAAATAGCCTTTGTTCTTAATTTCAATGTTTACACGACGTTAAAAATATAGTGCCTGGTGCGTGATAGGCTTCTCCTATAAGTGAATTATCTATTTTTTAATAAATCCTAACTATTGCGATTCTCCATTCTCCTCCATTATGCAATTTTTCCATTGGTAAACGCAAATATTCCAAAATCAAGAAAGGCCATTGGGTTGAAAAAATAAAAGATTTCAAAGTAATCCCAGAACTATAAATAATTCTCATATTATTCCATATTTGTGACATGTAAATTTCTTACACATACATATCGGCTTCAATATTTAGGCTTGTCGGGTTTTGTAATTCGGGGCGGGTTATGGTTGGACTTCGAGTTGCATGACACATTAACCTAAGCCCAGTCTAAAATCAAATCGGTTCTTAATTTTCAACCCAAGCCCATATGTACTCTGAAATTTTCAGGGTTGGCCCAAGTTGCTTCATCCACCCATGATCTATAAACCCCTTTCCTTCTTCATCTCTGAAATCTTGAATAAAGCTATTTGAAATTTATTCATCTGAGGAAGATCGAAGTAAACTAATTTTTTCGCTGCGCAAAGAATATTGTTCAGAGAATTATACCCATGTTTCTTAAACCAATAAAATTGGAAATTTATTCTGCTTTTAATAATTTTCATAATTTGAAATTTGTGCATCCAATTAAACAATCTTTTCCTTTCATCATTTTCTCCAATTTAAAATTTCAATTATTCACTTTCATCGAAATCAATGGCCTCCAAGAAGATTCAATAGGCTCAAGCAAGAATGTTAAAGTTGACAAGAATCTATCTTTCCAAGAATGGAGAAATGTCTATGACATATTCGAAACAATGTCTCTGTGAAAGCCCAGACTCAGACAGAGTTTCAACTACATTATCAATAGCTTGCTCTATGCCACTTCTAGTGAGCACATTGTTAGCTGCTTTCTCTCCCTGGCATTTTCAAAGTTACTACCACCAAAGGCAGAGGTTAACTTTCTCTCTCTCTCTCTCTCTCTCTCTTTCTCTCTCTATTTTTATTGTCCATTTTAATTTAGAACAATTTTAAAGTTGCCCTCAAGGAGGAAAAAGAATCCAGAACTCAGTTTAGTTAGACTAAGTATTCTACCCCTTTAAAATATAGAAATTAAATATTGTTTGAGCTAAAGTCTTGATCACCTTTTCATTAGTATATATATATATTTTCTCATTAGAAATGACGAAGAATGTGAAATCTCTTTCTCCATCCAGATATTCAAAATATTGTGGCAAGCAATATTTCCACTTTGGGATTCGCAATTTCTTAGAACCAATTCTTTCCTCTTGACCATTTCTTAAGCGTTCACCAAATTACTTTAGATGTCAACTTCTATTCAATTGCCGAATGGCACTACCCACATTGCCATGGCGTGGAATACTAATCTACCCGTGTTTTCTTTTATCTTCTTCTTACCGTTTACATTTGATTATAGGAATTTAAAATTTTAGCTCATTCAAAAAGTCATTTCAAGCAGTTTTCTAATCAATTTAGTTGACCTCTTCAATACAGTCTGTTGCTGTTTACTTTTCTTGTTGCTGTTTACTTTTCTTGTTGCTATAAACCCCAGATGAAATGGGTTATGATGCTAAGACCAGTTCTTGTTTTTGTTATTAACGCGAAATTCTATTTTAAAAAAAAAATAATCTATAGGATGGGTATGACCCTCAGCTCTAATTCTTACCTTGAATCTGTAAAGCCGAATTTCTTGTCTTCATTTTGTTTGAAATAATCGTCGACGTTGACCTATTATCATGGACGTATGTTTAGAGTTTATTCAATTGAAAACTAAATTAATTGTGAACATGATTAAACTAAACTTTTTGAAAATGATCACAGAATATGTAATTGTCCAATGTGCGGTCCAAATCCTACCAACTTTAACTTGAAATGACATGCCAACAACTTGAAACAAATATGGCCTAGTATTTTTTGGTGATAGCTTGCTGATTGAGAACACATTAGTGTCTATCATTTGTGGATAACGAAAGATCAATTCAACTAATTAAACAAATGCCGGCTCAGGCCGTCGCTTTTGAAAATTAATTTCAGTACTCGGTCATCTCAATTTCAACTACAATGTATAGTTTATGCTTATATATAGAGATATAAAGTACAAACCAAGTCACAGGTCCCATTAGTGTCTAACCAAAGTTTCAAGTTTTGAAGGAACAATGAAGCTCATTAATGGGGTTCCTGTTCTTCATTTGATCTTGCTTGCATGGTGTCTTTTGGCATTCCAGGCTAGACCAGCATCTGTTGGGAGGTCCACCTATATCGTCCACATGGACAAGTCTCACATGCCCAATACCTTTGCTAGCCACCACCACTGGTACTCCACCACTGTTGATTCCATAAAATCAGCCGGTCACACAACATCAACCGGTCATCAATCCAAACCAGAGCTTGTCTACACTTATGATAATGCATTTCATGGTTTCAGTGCACTGTTGTCTCAAGATGAACTAGAGACTCTAAAGAATTCCCCAGGGTTTGTCTCAGCTTATAGTGATAGAGAAGTCACACTTGATACCACCCACAGCCTTGATTTCCTCTCCCTCAATCCTTTTAGTGGCCTATGGCCAGCTTCAGACTTTGGCAAAGACGTCATCATTGGTGTCGTCGACACCGGTGTTTGGCCTGAGAGCAAAAGCTTCAATGACAAAGGAATGACCCCAGTCCCCTCTAGGTGGAAGGGTAAGTGTGACGAAGGACAAGAGTTCAATTCCTCATTGTGTAATTTGAAACTCATTGGAGCTAGATACTTTAACAAAGGTATTATAGCTGCAAATCCGAACATCACAATCAGCACGAACTCTGCAAGGGACACTCAGGGCCACGGCACGCACACTTCCTCCACAGCTGCTGGAAATTATGTGGAAGGCGCTTCATACTTTGGCTATGCAAACGGGATAGCAAAAGGGGTTGCCCCCAGTGCTCGGGTGGCCATGTATAAGGTCATTTTTGATGAAGGACGGTATTCTTCTGATGTCCTCGCGGGTATGGACCAGGCTGTAGCTGATGGCGTCGACGTGATATCGATTTCAATGGGTTTCGATGAGGTACCTCTGTATAAGGATCCTATTGCCATAGCTTCCTTTGGAGCCATGGAGAAGGGTGTGGTTGTGTCATCTTCAGCTGGCAATGCTGGCGCCTCTCTTGGACAATTGCACAATGGGATCCCATGGGTCTTGACCGTCGCAGCAGGCTCAATCGACCGGTGGTTTGCTGGAACCTTAACTCTAGGAAATGGTTTAACAATCACCGGATGGAGCATGTTCCCAGCAAATGCTTTGGTGTTAGATCTCCCTCTCATTTACAACAAGACTCTGTCTCCATGCAATTCAACTGCATTGTTGTCTGAAGCCCCTAATCGTGGCATCCTCATATGCGATGGCACTGGGACATTTTATAGCCAATTAGACACTGTCTCACAGTCAAATGTGGCCGCAGCTATATTTATCTCTGATGATCCTGAAGTACATGAATTCAATGATTTCTACATTCCTGGAGTTGTGATTCGCTCTAAAGATGCCACAGCTGTGATAAAATATGCTGAGAGTGGAAATAGATCAACAGCGAGCATGAAGTTCCAACAGACCATTGTAGGGACAAAGCCTGCCCCTGCTGTTGCTTCATACACTTCAAGAGGTCCTTCCCCGAGCTATCCAGGCATCTTGAAACCGGACGTAATGGCACCTGGGACACTAGTTTTAGCATCATGGATTCCAAACGGTCCAGCAAGTGCTATTGGCTCAAATATTGTGTTGTCCGGTGATTACAATATTGTCTCTGGGACATCCATGTCTTGTCCTCATGCTTCGGGCATCGCTGCGCTCTTAAAAGGCGCACACCCAGAATGGAGTCCAGCTGCTATTAGGTCTGCCATGATGACCACAGCCAACCCTTTTGACAACACTCACAATCCTATCCGAGACACTGGCCTAAATTTCCAAATTGCTTCACCTCTAGCCATGGGGGCAGGTCAGGTTGTTCCTAATCAAGCACTTGATCCAGGTCTTATCTACGATGCTACTCCACAGGACTATGTGAATCTTCTCTGCTCAATGAACTTCACTAAGAATCAAATCTTTACCATCACAAGATCACACAGTTACGGTTGCTCAGGCCCGTCTTCTGACCTTAATTACCCATCCTTTATTGCTTTGTACACTAATGAAACAGGTATACTGGTTCAGAAATTTCCAAGGACTGTCACGAATGTTGGCAATGCCACGGCCACTTATATAGCTAAGGTTGAAGCACCAAAAGGCTCTGTAGTCACAGTTTCACCGAACACACTGGCTTTTGAGAAGATGTATGAGAAGAAGAGCTACTCTTTGACTATACGGTATATGAGTGACAAGAATAGGACGGTTACTTTTGGTTCTATAATTTGGGTAGAAATTAGTGGTAAGCATAGTGTGAGGAGTCCTATAGTGGTGTCACCTATTATCAATGTTTGGTAGGTCCTTGTTTGAATTGTGCATGGGATAATAAGGAATTTCCATTTCGAGTGTGTTAATGTCACATGAAGATTTGTGTCCACAGAAATACTATTTAAGTTCCTTTTGAAACTTGAAAATAAAGCTTTTGGCATGACCACTGTTGGACGCGAAAAATAACTCGTCTCTCTACCTTTCATCATTTTCTCCAATGTAAAATTTCAAAATTCCACTTTGGTTCAAATCAATGGCCTCCATGAAGATTTGGAAGGGTTAAACAAGAATGTCAGAGTTGTCAGCAATCTATTTTCCATTGCCGGAAGCGACGAAATGGCTTGACATATTTGAAACAAGGTATCTATGAAGCCTGGACTCGGACATAATTCAACTTCATTATCAATAGCTTGCTCCATGCTACTGCTAACGAGCACATCTATAGCTGCATTCTCTTCCTGGCGTATCCAATAAAAAATTATATTATATATATTAGATTGAATTATAAAAAAACTTAAAATCGTAAAACCGAACTGAACCAGATTGTGAGAAAACGGTTTGATTCTATTGATTTCACAGTTCGGTTCGGTTTTACATTTTTTGAAACCGTGACAAACAATTTGGTTTCGAAATAATCCCAAATCGTTTCAATTCGATATGTGTACATTCCTAATTTGTAAAATTGAATTACTATTTATTCACACACATTTACAAATACTCATTATGAGATTCAATCTCTCACCTTCCATTTAAGGACAACGAGGTTGGCATTTTGTCTCCATAACCTTGACCTAGAACCTCAACCATTTCAAGTCGAGGTTTATTGAATTGAAAATTGCAAAATGTGAAAATGATTTAATTGAAGATCTTGAAAATGATGACAGAATATGTAATTGTCCAATATGGGGTCCAGAGCCTTCCAACCTTGACTTGAAATGGCATGCCAACAACTTGAAAACTATTTTTGGTGGCAGCCTGTCCATTCAACGCATAGGGGGCGCCTTTTCTAATATTAATTTCAATAATGGGTCGTGGGCTCAGGGCGTCTTTTTGAAAATTATTTCAATACGGAGTTATATGCTTTATATATATATATATATATATATATATATATATATATATGCACACACACATATGTATATATATATATATTCACACATTAAGAAAAGACACCGTGCGATGAACATCATAAATGTTTTTTAACTTATAGAATTTTAGGAAAAGACACCGTACGATGAACGTGGTAAATGTTTTTTAACTTATAGAATTTTTATATTTTGTATATATATATATATATATATATTTTCTTCTAATTGTTGATTTGAAGCTTGTAATAATAAACTTTACAAAAAATTACAATTTTTTGTAACTCTTTTTATATTAATTAATAAATATTTTTTTATATTAATAAATAAATACTTAAATATTTTGAAATGAGTAGTAGAGTTTGAGTTTTGTAAAGTAATAAATTCTTTTATATTTTTATATTAATACTGAAATATTTATATTTTAATTTTTTATTAATTAATATTTTTTTTTATTTTAATACTGAAATATTTGAGTTTTGCAAAGTAATAAATTATTTTAGGTAATTTGCGGTAATTTGTAATTTGAATTTTTTTTTTCATAATTATTTGAATTTTATTAGGTAATATTTAAAAAATTATATATATATAAAATAGTATACATTTGAATTTTATTAGGTAATTTGTAATTTGAATTTTATTATGCAATTTGAAATTTAGTATAATTTTAAATTTACAATAGAAATTCACTTTTATTAAGTTTTAATTAAATTTTAAAATAGAAATTCAATTATACTAATCATATATTAGATTTAAATTGATATAAAAATTTATTATATGGAGTTTCTGGTTTTTTGGAAGACCCTAGTTATATTTTATTTTCTTTAAATATATCATTGTTTAATGTGATAAAGTTTTATAGAAAATAAAATAGGTAATTTGTTTTGGAGTTTTATAGAAATTATTTTATTTTTTTTAAATTCTTGTAAATTATATTTTCTTTTATTAAAAAACACATAATAAATAGATAAATATAGGTGTTATATGTGATAGAGTTCTTTTTTTTATATTAATTAATAAATATTTTTTATATTAAAAATAAGTATTTTTTCTTTAAGTATATCCTTTTCTAATTAGTTTTCTTTTTATTAATAAAGTCATTATAAATAGATAAATACAGGTTATATGTGATAGAGTTTTAAAGAAAATAAAATAGTTGATTTGTGGTAGAGTTTAGGTAATTTTTGTTAGAAATTTAAAGAAAATAAAATATTTTTTATATTAATAATTCTTGTCTAATTAGATTTTCTTTTATTAAAAAATTCATAATAATATATGGATAAATATGTTAATTTGAATTTTATTAGGTAGATTTTAGAGTTTTATTTATTTTTCATTTTATAAAACTCTTTTCATATTAATTAATAAATATTTTTTTATATAAATAAATAAATACTGAAACTCTTTGCACATTTAATAGTAGTATAGATAAAAATTCTTTTTATATCAATTAATAAATATTTTTTTATATAAATAAAAACTCTTTTTATATCAATTAATAATTTTTTTATTATATAAATAAATAAATAAATATTGAAACTCTTTGGCAGAGCTTCTATATTTTACTCTGAAATTCTGGATTTCTAAAATTCTTCATTTCTGTACCCCTTCCTCCTTCCTCCATGCCTCTATTTATAGGTTTCTTGGATTAATATGATAATGACATGTATCTTTTCTTGATAATGACATAATCATAACTGGGCCGAGCCAGTTATATTGTGATAATTATCCATAAAAAATAATTATTATTTTTATATCAATTAATAAATATTTTATTGTGTCTAATTATATTTCCTTTTATTAAAAAACTCATAATAAATAGATAAATAGGTAATTTGTGTTAGAGTTTTATAGAAACTCTTTTAAAACCTCTTTTTATCAATTAATAAATAAATTTTTATATTAATAATACTTGTCCAATTAGATTTCCTTTTATTAAAAAACTCATAATAAATAGATAAATATGTAATTTGTGTTAGAGTTTTATATAAACTCTTTAAATATATCTTTGTCTAATGTGATAGAGTTTTATTGAAAATAAAATAGGTAATTTGTGTTAGAATTTTTAGAAATTATTTTATTTTTTCTTTAAATATATCCTTATCTAATTAGATTTAATTTTATTAAGAAATTCATAATAAAAACTAATTTGTGGTAGAGTTTTAGAAAAAAATATTTTATTTTATATATCAATTGATAATTTTTTTATATTAATAATTCTGGCCTAATTAGATTTTCTTTTATTAAAAAATTCATAATAATAAATAGATAAATAGGTTAATTTGATTTTATTTGGTAGATTTTAGAGTTTTATATAGTATTTTTTTTTTTTATAAAAATATTTTCATATCAATTAATAAATATTTTTTTATATAAATAAATACATACTGAAATACACATTTAATAATAGTATAAATAAAAACTCTTTTTATGTCAATTAATAAATATTTTTTATATAAATAAATAAATATTGAAACTCTTTGGCAGGACTCTATATTTTATAGATAAAAACTCTTTTTATATCAATTAATAAATATTTATTTATATAAACAAATAAATACTGAAACTCTTTGGCAAAATTTCTGCATTTTATTCTAGAATTCTAGATTTTTAGAATTCTCAATTTCTGTACCCCTTCTTCCTTCCTCCATGCCACTATTTATAGGTTTCTTGAATTAATATGATGATGACATGTGTCCTCTTCTGAAAATGACATAATCATAACTGAGCCGGATCGGTTATATTGTGATAATTATACATAAAAAATAACTATTCTTTTTCTATCAATTAATAAATATTTTATTGTGATTGATTATATTAGGTAATTTTTATAGTTTTATAGAAACTATTTTTATATCAATTAATAAATATTTTTTATATAAATAAATAAATACTGAAACTCTTTGTACATTTAATAATAGTATAGATATACACGCACATATATACAGTTACAAAGTACACACCAAGTTATAGGTCCCATTCGTGTCTAACCAAAGTTTCAAGTTTTGGAGGAAAAAATGAAGCTCAGTAATGGGATTTCTCTTCTTCATTTGATCTCGTTTACATGGTTTCTTCTGGCTTTTTAGGCTAGATTAGTATCAGTTGGGAGGTCCACCTATATTGTCCATATGGACAAGTCTCACATGCCCAAGACCTTTATTAGCCGCCACCATTGGTAAACCTCCACCGTTGATTCCACAAAATCAATTGGTCACACAACATCAAACTCTCATAAATCCAAACCAGAGCTTGTCTACACTTATGATAATGCATTTCATGGTTTCAGTGCACTGTTGTCTTAAGATGAACTAGACGCTCTAAGGAATTCCCCAGGGTTTGTCACAACTTATAATGATATAGAAGTCACACTTGACACCACTCGCAGCCTTGATTTCCTCTCCCTCAATCCTATCACCGGCCTATGGCCGACTTCCCACTGCGAAAAAGACATCATCATTGGTGTTATAGACACTAGAGTCTGGCCGCAGAGTATGAGCTTCAACGACGAAGGAATGACCCCAGTCCCTTCTAGGTGGAAGGGTAAGTGTGAGGAAAGACAAGAGTTCAATTCCTCATTGTGCAACTTGAAGCTCATTGGAGCTAGATACTTGTAATATTTCTGTTTTTCAGCTTTTTCCAATTTCTGGAATTTTCTGATTTTCAGAGGGCATTTTCGTCTTTTCTCATTTTACTTGCCGGACACTATGGGGTGTGCTAGGTGTGTCCAAGAGTTGGTTGGGGCATTCCATTGAGTTCAGGTCTCTTGAAAATGCGTTGGTAGCCATTTTGGCATTTTTTTATTTTTCGGGCCAGACAGTCCCGAGTGGGACTCGCTTATTGAATTGTCACATATGGGGGTGTTGTTTGGGTCCATTTGCATATCAATCATTTTTTATTTAGTGTGTTTTATGTGGTAATTGTATAGTTTATATGCATATATGTGTGTGGTGGAAAAAGAAAAGAAAAGAAAAGTAAAAAATGAAAATTCTTAGTGATGGGACCCACCACCACTTTCCTTTGGATTTTGTGGCCAAGAGGCCACACTTTGGCCTCATATTCTCTCTCTGTCTCCTGGCTCCCTCTCTCT